GACACTTTAGTGAATGTTCAGTAAGAGTTGGCTATACCTGCCTTACTGCTGGAGATGTGGTTCAGGAGTTGGAACATTAATTCATATGATCTGGATGTGTCTTATTATCGGGAGATTTTGGACTGAAATCAACAGGATTGTTCATATGGATTGACTGTGATGCCGTAAAGATGCATTTGTTCTTCTTGGCTATGTTCCTAGTATTTAAAATTTCAGGACATTAATATCTGTAGACTTCTTGGGCATGAGAGTTAGTTAAAATAATTGTTCTACAAAACGGGGAAAAAATCTTCACTTAAAAAAAGGATTGTTCTTATATGTTTGTTTCTCAACATTTAGATTAGTTAAGCAAAGAACAAGATTTTTGAGTGATGGTCAGTCAGTTTGGAGTTGTGCTGAGCATCCTATCTTGATATCTCTTTGCAGTGTTGGTTCCTCCCCACCCAGCTAGGTGGCAGCATCTAGCTGAACTTACCTGATGCCCCAAAATCAAGCAGGGTCACCTAGTTCATACTTCAATGGAAAATCACCAGAAAATCCCAATGCTCTTGATTGTTCCAGATTACTAACCTCTTGAATGTTATGTCATGATAGCAGACTGAATTAAAAGTCAAGATAGGGTTGAAACTGATTATATGGCTATTATTTATCCCTGTAATTTCAAACCAACCCTTATTACATGACTTCCATAACTTGAGAATACAGTTCCTAGAATTCCTATGGCCACACACACTGAGAATTCTTGGAGTTTCAGTCCTAACACATCAGATAGCTTCAGGTTAGAGCAAATTATGCAACTCATTAGTATCTGCGGACCATACTTGGTCTTTGAATGAGATGCCAGATATGCACATTCCAGAAAATGGGTGGGGTCAGAACAAAAATGGAATTTGCTCTAATTTAAAATTAAATTTGCCTTTCATGTAATTTTAAAATTAGGAATATTATTAAATGGAATTTAGCTGCAGTTTAGGGTCATATTCAATAAATCAAAGAGCCACTAGTTGTGCCTTTTTGCCATAGTGGCTGAGAAGAAGCCGGCTTGTCACATATTTTAATGTCTTAGGTTAAAATCTGATAAATTCTTATTGGGGAATTCCATTGGACTCTGGGATTTTTCAAAAACATAATGCATAGTGTTATTTTATAAGAAATAAAGTTGGGAAGATGTTTTCAGAGATCTGATCAATCTGAACAGCCTTCTGGAATGTTCCATCACTGGAGGTTTTGTAGCAGGGGTTGGACAGCCATTTGTCTGGAATGGTATGAGGATTCCTACCTGGGCAAGTGGTTGGACTAGAAGACTTCCAAATCCTTTCCAATCCTAGGATTCTATGATAAGCACTATAAGATAATGGTGGATTTCAGACTATCCCAAAAGTGTATTTTAAAAAGTTTACTTTCTCAACTAAGAGTTTACAATTTTTTTAAACGGACAATGCGCTTATACAGGTATCTAGTTCTAATTTGACAACTGGATGGATTAAATAAGCCAAGAAGTTTTCTTTCTGCAAAGAAAATAATTGGTCTTTTGATTTATGTTGCAGCAGAATCAGAGTATATGGCAGTAGTTCTGAATGTGATTAGATAAATACAGTGGAACCTCGGTTTACGAACTTAATTCGTTCCGCGACCTGAATTGGTTGCGACCCGAAGCAAATTTTCCCATAAGGTTCAATGTAATTACCGTTAATCCGTTCTGGCGT